GGATATTCAGAAGGACTGCTTTTCCCACGAAATATCTTGCTTAAATAAAGAAGATAAAATAGCCAAATCTTCAAAGATAGGGACATTTTGTCCATTTGTGGATGAAGCAGGAATTTTAAGGGTAGGTGGAAGACTACGAAATAGCAATTTGTCTTTTGAAGCCAAACACCCCATATTGCTGCCATACAAAAATAAGATAGTGGAATTAATGATGGAAGAATTACATCAGGAGAAGCTTCATATCGGACCTCAAAGGTTACTAGCCATATTTAGGCAACAGTTTTGGCCTCTACGTGGTAAGCAGTTGGCTAAAAAAGTGGTGAGCAAATGCTACAGATGTTTTAGGGCAGAGCCTAGGAATTTACATCAATTGATGGGTAATTTGCCTGAGGATCGAGTTATTAGAACCCGACCCTTTTTAAACACAGGGATCGACTTTTTAGGACCACTGACGATACATCACAAAATTAGAGGGAAGAATTACATCAGGAGAAGCTTCATATCGGACCTCAAGGGTTACTAGCCATATTTAGGCAACAGTTTTGGCCTCTACGTGGTAAGCAGTTGGCTAAAAAAGTGGTGAGCAAATGCTACAGATGTTTTAGGGCAGAGCCTAGGAATTTACATCAATTGATGGGTAATTTGCCTGAGGATCGAGTTATTAGAACCCGACCCTTTTTAAACACAGGGATCGACTTTTTAGGACCACTGACGATACATCACAAAATTAGAGGGAAGCGAACGGACAAAGGATATGTATGTGTGTTCGTGTGCTTTGCTACAAAAGCTGTCCACTTAGAGGTAGTATCCGATTTGACAGCGGCAGCGTTCATTGGGGCATTGAAAAGGTTTGTCGCCAGAAGAGGTTGTCCACTAAAAATTTATTCAGACAACGGAACAAATTTTGTTGGGGCTGCAAACAGTTTGCATGAAGTGTATAAGTTGTTTAAGAGTAGCAACCTTACGAAAGATATTGACAGGTTTTGTACATCAAGGGATATTGAGTGGGTTAATATTCCGGCTAGGTCTCCGCATGTAGGAGGTCTGTGGGAAAGCTGCGTCAAGTCGGTAAAAAGGCATTTACATAGAGTAGCAGTTGGAACCATGACATTTGAAGAAATGTGCACGCTCATGGCACAGATAGAGTCCATTTTGAATTCTCGTCCGTTAATACCATTGTCAGACGACCCAAATGATTTCAATGTTTTGACGCCGGCCCATTTCCTGATAGGAGAAGACCTTTCAACGTTCATTGACGCAGATTCGAATAGAAGCTATCAAGGGATGCGGGGACATTGGAAAGACGTGCAGGCTAGAACAGAGGAGTTTTGGAAGAGGTGGTCCGGTGAATACTTATGCGAGCTCCAAAGAAGGTATAAGTGGGCTGACAAGTGGGAAAATATAAAACCTGGAACCCTGGTTCTATTAAAGGAAGATAACCTTCCACCCCTTTCCTGGAGGCGCGGCAGGGTCATCCGAACTATAATGGGTTCGGATGGATTGTGCCGTATGATAGACGTAAGGACAAGCAATGGAGAAACGAAAAGATCGGTCCACAATGTTTGTCCTTTTCCTATCGACGATAATGATATTGATCATGATAAAGCGGGAGCAGTCAAAACAATTCCCGTAATGAAAAATAATGGTGGCTCGGTCGAATCGGCCACATCAATTAAAGATAAGGGTAGAAAATTCAAAGCAAAAGATCTATTCTTATATATTTTATTTATGCTAACAATATGTAACCCAGTTAAGAGTCAAGTAGAGGTAACTAATTTTGAAGATAGGGCTGGCGTGTTTTTTGAGGAAGTTGTTGCTGTCGGCCTGACTAAATCATCTTGGAATATTGTGGCGCACGTGAAAATGACTGAGTATACGTCTGGGATAAAGGCGTTAGACGAAGCAGTAAAAAAATTCAACGAGGATGTGATGAGAATACCCGAAATGAAGCAGTTAAAGTGCATTCAGCGGTTGCAAGAAGCCCATGACCGCATGAGGAATCAACATGACGTTATAATGTCGTCAGCTCCAGTTCAAAGAATTAGAAGGTCGGCGGTGCCGTTTGTTGGTAGCATATTTCGCTCGCTATTTGGCTTGATGGACGAAGAGCATGCTGATGATCTGGTCAAGAGAATTACAATGGTCGAAGATAACCAAAAATCCTTGGTAGAGTTGTTAGACAATCAGACATCTCTCCAGGACATTACGACCAGAATAATAAAGGAGCAGAATCAGGCCGTGTTTACAAACATTGCAAATTTAGATGAATCTCTTGGAGAGCTGAGTAAAAAAATCGACGAGATCAACAGGAGAGAGAGCGTGGCTATGAAGGCGACGGAAGCGTTGTCTGCTATCCAAGATGTGGAGATCGTACAAAGAGATCTTATTGAGGCAATGGTTAATGTTCGGGGTAGCTTTCTTCATGAAATTCTTCCCGTGAAAGTCTTCAAGCAGCAGATCCAGGTCATAAAATCATCTATTGGAAGAAGATTACACCTGCCAACCGAGTCTCCGATCGAGCTAGCAAAAATTGCTGATGTGTCGACCAGAACAACTGAAGAATATATGTTGTTCAATATCCGCCTTCCTCTGATAAACACTGATCAATTTACCGCTTATGCAATACAGTCCTATCCAGTCGTACAGGACGGGTTGTCTGTTCAGTTAAAGGCTCACAGCAATTACCTATTGATAGATGAAAAGAAAACAACATTTTACGCCCTCACAGAAGACGACTTTGCCAGATGTCAAAAAATGGACAGAATGATCATATGCCAGCAATTGCATCCCATCTATAATACAAGAGAAGCCACTGAATGTGAAGTTAGGTTGTTTTTAAAACCGAACCAAATGCCTGAGAGTTGTGACTTCGCCATTACAAAGTTTCACAACTTCTGGAAGCAACTTCGAACACCCAATATGTGGGTATTCTCAGTTACGAGCGGTACCGTCACAGAAGTCAAATGTGGTGGTAAGCGACAAAATACTAGAATTCGAAATCAAGGATTACTAAGAATGCAGCCGGGTTGTACGTTAGAGACTGAAGAGATGAAGTTGTGGGCGCACGAGAATTACCGCAGTGAAGTCAACTACGTTTTTCCGCAATTCAACATTTCCGCATCCCTGCCATCTCTCACCCATCTATCTTTGAAGAATAAAATCGAAGTCTACAAATTACCTGACATTCCGCAAGTTAAACGGTTTCTGGGTTTTCCTGTTCATCTCGATACGCATCACCTAATGCACTACAGTCTCAACTTTACAACGTGCCTTTTCATCGCGGGTATCATCATTGCGCTGTACTTGGTTATCCGAAGGTTGTATCATCTATCCAGCCGTTACCTGCCGGTGTCTATCGCCCTTCCTCAAATTAGATAGGGTAGTTGTATATAAAAGTTTGATGAATGTAATTAGAAGATAGTTATGTTTATATCTGTATATTATTCTGAATAACTAAAAGAAATATATATCGGGAACTAAAGTGTAACAGATACTATTAACATATATTAGTCAAATAATCAATCTTCCAAAAATGATAATGTATAGTAACGGTTGTAAGATAAGGAATAAAGAAGATCGCTAAAATTAAAATAAATGTTAGAACTTAAGAATTTGATAAAGTCATTTTCATATTAAAACTTTCATTGTCATGGGTATATTTTTTAATATGATGTAGTTGCTCTCCATGTTATGTTGCTTTGAATTGTGTAAAATTAATATATTGACAACTAAAATAATTGGTCAAGTACTGCATTGCATATTTACAAGATACAATCTCTTATTTATAAGTTGTTGGAAAATTACAATCTTCCAAGGCCGGGAGCATGTACAGTTTTGTAGATAGGCTGAACGTACACCAGAAAACAGCCACGGTTGTCTTCTTCCTAGAATACTTAAATGATTTTGTTACATGTGTAGTCTGTTTGGGTCAGTCATAAATATTGTATTGATGATAAGGAAATGTCTCGCCCAACTAGTTGTCTTAAGGATAAAAGGTTTTATTACCCGCCATGCTGTGTGTACGTGGGGTGCATTTATTACCCCTAGCATTTATGACTGCATTGTGGGAATTTACTTTAAGGTAGAGTGTCTAGGTACAGCATGCATCCTAATGGCTGTTGAAGTATTTGTTATGTACTCTAATAAATAAGTGTATTGGTATTTGTAGTTTTAGTGATAGTTTAAAGATATGATAAAAAATAAAGTTAGTTCCCTTAGAACATTCAACGAAACGACATCGAGCGGTCTTATTTAATTTTCTCCCCCTAACAGTATGTGTAGGTCCACGATTTGGTACCCTAAGGTGGAGGGTATTAAAAGTTTGGCCCGGCCGAACTTAATGTTTTTTTACTTGTTCTATGGAGATATATTTACAAGTTAGTTTATTCGACTCTGTACGCTCCAAGTATATGTTAAGTATATTCGAAAATCTGACCATATCCACGAAATCTCTCCTCACTCCAGTCACGTTAAAATTCAATCACTTAACTACTGACCTGTTAATTAACGATGACAAATATTAAACCAAATGGTTCAGCATAAATATGTCATACAATTTTGTTCAAATCCAAGCCAAGTAGATTAAATGTTTATTGTTTTCCATTAATGAAATCAATATGGATTTCCATTTGGCAGAGAAGCCGCCTGGCTGGTGGGCCTAACCTATGGAAACAATAAAATGAAAATTGTTGTTATTTGTACTTTATGTGGTTACATGAACTATTGGCGGATTTGCAGAAGTACCTACTACTCACACAAGTACTCTATGGCCCCATCATATGTGGGTGCACTCTCCCAAAACATTTGTGTTTTCCAAGACAAGCTTCAACGAAAGCGAAATAAAGAGACTCCGTTTTAAGCATTGTTTTTGGCGGGTGTCTGCTGTTTTTTTTTTTTTTTTTGGTTTTTCTTCGAGAAAACCCAAACCCCACAAACGCAATGGAACATTTTATTATGGCCTGTCGGTTAGCTTAATATTTCAGTTGTTGTTATTTGCGCGTTGCGACAGGTCGTTTTGAAAACTGAACCTTCCTCGATACGAAAACTGAAGTGCGTTTTAATAAACGAAAAAATAAAAAATTAATGAACGGTTTCTTTTTGCTGCTCTAATTAGACAAATTAAGAGATTGTGTCTGTGTTTCGTTGTCGTGTTTTATTAAAAGGAGTTATGAAATTTAATTTGAAAATTGTCGTTTAATGAAATACCTAGTTAAAAAAATAAGTGAATCATATCCTAAACAATTGGACGATAATTTTAAAGTCTTCACAAAATCAATGCACAATTTTGGACAATGGATTACCAAATTGTGTTCAAATGTTCAACGCTTTTGAAATGCTTGTTAATATTTTCAATTGTAAGTGTTTTATATGAAAATGTGAAATTAAGTTTCAAGGAGAAAAGGAATATCTATCAAAAAATAAAACGTATAACATTATTTATTTTACATATAAATTGAACAAGAATTCAGCCTCGGATGAGAAAAAAATATGATAAAAATATGATATCCTTCATGCAAGGATATATCAATATACAAGAACTTTCTAAGGACTAAGGACTGAAAACAAATTCATTCACAGCGGGATTTTTTTATACCCTACACCACAAGGTGTTCAGGGTATTATGTCTTTGTGCATTTGTTTGTAACAGGCAAAAGGAAACGAGACAGACCCATATTTCCTATTGATGATCTGCATAGAATCACATTCGATTTACGCATGTCGGTCCTTCCGTCCGTCTGTCCATGTATTTTTGTAAACAATGTACAGTTCGCATTTATTGCCCTATCCAGATGAAATTTTGCATAAATCATTTGTTTGGCCCAAGGATGAACCCTATTGAAATTGGAAATAATCGGTCAAAATTTAGATCCCATCCCATAGCTCCCATATATATCTTCGTCCTATTTGCCTTTTATTGTGCACCAAACGTGTAATATCAGTCCGAATAGTATGGAATTTTGCACGTACGATCAGATTGGACCTGAAAATAAGTATGCCAAATTTGATCGAAATCGGTTCAGATATAGCTATAGCTCCCATATATACTGTTCATCCGATTTGTTATTTTTGTCCTTCGCAACCGTAATAAGCACTCTGTAACAACAATATTTGGGGAAATATATCAAATACAGCTCAGAAATACATTTGCTAAATTTTATCGAGATCGGTTCAGATTTGGTTATAGCTCCCATATATAACTTCGTCCGATTTACCTTTGATTGTGCACCAAACGTCTAATATTTGCCCAAATGGGATGAAATTTGGCACTTACGACCGAATTGAGTCTAGAAGCTAGTATGTCAAATTTGGTGAAGATCGGTTCAGATATAGCTATAGCTCCCATATATAATATTCATCCAATTTTGTTATATTTGTTACCCACAGCCGTAATATGTACTCCGTAACAACGATATTCAGGGAAATATATCAAATACAGCTCAGAAATATCTTTGCCAAATTTTATCGAGATCGGTTCCGATTTGGATATAGCTCCCATATATATTTTTATCCGATTTCAAATTAATTGTGCACCAAATGGGCAATACAAGTCGTCCGAATTTAAAAGATACAAATGCTTCGGCATATTTAGTCTTTTATAATCATAGCGTGTATGATTGAATTCTCCCTTAAAACTTTTAATTGTTATGCGGAGCTCTACTAAATTAGCAAAGTGGTGTAGGGTATCATAAAGCTCCGCCCGACTTTAAGACTTTCTTTACTGTTTTTTTTTTCCGAAATTTGTGACTATTTTACCAAAAAATTCATAATATGAATTAATTATTCATAGTTCAAAAGTTGCAGGACATAATTATCACTATTAATTTTTTGTGGGGGTTTTTGTATCCGTTCGAAATCACTTTTGTTTTCTTAAAAACTTTACTACCATATCGGTCATTTAATTTAGTGTCAAATTCCAAAAATTTCAGTAAAAAACCATTTTTAATTTTACCATTAAAATTTGACTTCCCCAATAAAAAATATCATTGCCCAGAAAGTGAAACAACATAGACAATTATTTCCCAAGAGGTCACCAGAGGACTGCAAGTAGAAAAACTGTAACTCACTGAGTTCTACCGATATCAGCATTGCTCTCTATCTTAGAGTAGGATGAGACCGTAACCTTGTAACAAATGTCGCATTTGAGTTCTTAAAACTACGCAGTTCATCATTTCAATCAGTGATTCTTGGTCAGGGATAATAGCAGTGCACAACCGTTCTTAAAGGAATAGCAATATTTAAAGACTGTTAGGTTATAGTTAAAAATTTCCTAAGGGTTGCCCAAGGGCCGATTTTAAATATTTTGAATGTCACTACAATATTTTTATCTTTTTAATGAGTATAATACCCTCACACAAATAATTTTCAATATAATTCACGTTTTGATATAAAAACCAGTAAAGAAAGTCTTAAAGTCGGGCGGGGCCGACTTTATGATACCCTACACCACTTTGCTAATTTAGTAGGGCTGCGCATAACAATTAAACGTTTTTATGGGAGAATTCAATCGTACTCCCTATGATTATAATTATAATTTAAAGTTCAAAGGACTAAATATGCCGAAGCATTTGTATCTTTTAAATTCCGACTTGCATTGGCCATTTGGCGCACAATTAATTTGAAATCGGATAAAGATATATATGGGAGCTATATCCAAATCGGAACCGATCTCGAGACAATTTGGCAAAGATATTTCTGAGCTGTATTTGATATATTTTCCTGAATATCGTTGTTACGGAGTGCATATTACGGCTGTGGGTAACAAATATAACAAATCGGATGAACAGTATACATGAGAGCTATAGCTAAACCGATCTTTACCAAATTTAACATACTAGCTTCTAGACTCAATTCGTTCGTAAGTGCCAAATTCCATCCCATTAGGACAAATATTAGACGTTTAGTGCATAATAAAAGGTAAATCGGACGAAGTTATATATGGGAGCTATAACCCAATCTGAATCGATCTCGATAAAATTTAACAAAGGTATTTCTGAGCTGTATTTGATATATTTCCCCAAATATTGTTGTTTTAGAGTGCATATTACGGTTGCGGAGGACAAAAATAACAAATCGGATGAACAATATATATGGGAGCTATAGCTATATCTGAACCGATTTCGATCAAATTTGGCATACTTATTTTTAGCCCTATTTTGGTTGTATGTGCAAAATTCCATACTATTCGGACTGATATTACACATTTGGTGCACAATAAAAAGCAAATCGGACGAAGATATATATGGGAGCTATATCTAAATTTTGACCGATTATCTCCAATTTCAATAGGATTCGTTCTTGGGCCAAACAAATGATTTGTGCAAAATTTCATCTGGATAGGGATTTATTGCCCTTATTTATTGCGAACTGTACTTTGTTAACAAAAATACATGGACAGAAGGACGGACGGACGGACATGCATAAATCGAAAAATAAATCGCCTACTTCCCACACTTTATATGAGATATCTGCAAATTTTTGGAAAATGTGGAAATATGCGTGATTTAATAGATATAGAGGACCGAAGTATTCCATTTTCATACTTCATCTAATACAGATAAAAATATATGTGCAAAATTTGATGGAAATCGGACTTTTATATCCAATTTTATGCGAAATCATGAATGCTTTACTCATCTCAGTTTTCAGGTTGAGAAAAATATTTAGATATAGCAGGTTAAAAAGAATCGCTGACTTGTTTTGAAAGTTATGACAGATAAATGTATTGAAATTTGTGACCCTTTGTGGGTGAAGTATCAGAAGGGGTTCGAAGATATATGTCATCTTCAAAACAGATCTGTGTTAGCAAATATGTTTGTATGTGTGAAATTTGAAGAGAGTTGGAGGCTTATTTCGCTTTCTTTGAGCGTTTTTTATACCTTGAACCCTGTATGGGGGAGTTACCAAAAGAAATGATCCGATCTCTACCATTTTTGTAACAGATCTAGTGTTGATGGAAATATTGAGATGTACCAAGTCTGGAATGGAATCGAATGTTAATTTCGCTTTTTATGAGCTTCATGGATATTCAAAATGTTGACCCTTTGTGGGGGAGGTACCAGAAGGAGTGGACCGATCTCTACCAACTTTATAACAGATCTTGTGCTTATGGAAATATTGAAATGTGCCAAGTCTGAATCGGATATTAATTTCGCTTTTTATGAGCATGAAATTCAAAATTTTGACCGTTTGTGGGGGAGGTACCATAAGAAGTGGACCGATATATCCCATCTTCACACCAGATCTTGGGTTAATAAAAATATTGTGATGTGTAAAATCTGAAGACAATCGAACCCTATATAACATTTTATAAGAGATATAATTATTTAAAAGTTTGACCCTTTGTGGGGGAGGTAATATATGGAGTGGACCGACATTGTCTATTTTCGCACCTGACCTAACACTGATGCAAATATTAGGATTTGCAAAGTTGGAGCAAAATCGGATTATCCTTTCTCTTTCTGTGCAGTAAAATTTTTATCATCGAAAATGAAGTATCAGAAGGAGTTGACCGTTGTGCGTACCAGCCAGACAGACAAACAGACGGACACCTCTAGATCGACTCCAAATGTCCTGAAACGGATTTGGTCCAAAGAGAACTAGGGTCTAAAACCATTATTTCGATGAGACACGTGTTGGCCGTATCAAATGATACGTACCCTCTGTAGACATATGGCTGAGTGTATAATAAACATTGATAATGTGACTTAAATGAATCATTTTGGGAGGTAATGTCATATGAGAGTTATGTATAATGCTGGAACCATATACATAATTTCCTACCAGAGGAAATTATGCGAACTTCGAAAACCACCCTTCAATTGATTCTATTGAACATGCGGGTAAATTCATAGTACTGATAGTACAGTTATGGCCTGTTATATCAGGGCTATGTATCTAAAATCGTGTAAATAGGAGGAGGGGAGGTACGGTTATATGGGGTCCATACCACAACTTGAACCCATATGGAAATCTCACTGCAAGGATAGTTTCCGTCCACTGTAAACAAAAATTGCCTTTTTACAGCCAATTCGGTAGAAAAATATTACTTAAACCCCTATACTATCCTGATTCAGGTTGTTTAAGGGGGTTATAACAAATCCCATATATTGACCCATATATCCCATTTTCAATACCAATAAGTTCGGTTTTGCCGAAAGAGGAGTATCCTCAAACAATGTCCGTTTGTATCTGACCTAAATATTACAAGATGCCAGGTTTTGACTATGTCGACTACATCTTTCACTTTATATGAGATATGTGTTTATTATTTATGGAAAATGTTGAACTTTTGTGCGGGTTTAAGACGTAAAAGTGGCCCGAAGTATCTAATTTTCATAATTTCTACAATTCTGATAAAAATCGAACAATTATTTCCAATTTTATGCAAATAATGTGAGATCTGTGGTTGATAGAAATATTTAGATACACGAAGTTTGAAGAAAATCGAAGATTATTCAAAATGTTGATCCCTTGCGGGGGAGGTACAAGAAGGAGTAGGCCGATATTGTTCGATCTCACATCTCACATTGCACAAATTTGGATAATAATTTCTCTTTTTATAAGAAAAATTATTTTCATTAAAAATTTCGACCTTTCGTTGGGGAGGCACTAGAGGTAGTGGATTGATATTGCCCATCTCGAACACGATCTAAGTTTGACAACAATAATACAATGTACAAAGTTTGTACCAAATCAGATACTTCATTCGAGAGTTTTCGTGCGCACAAGCCAGCTAGGCAGAAGGACGGACACCTATAGAACGACTGCAAAGGTCTTTAAACGGATTTCGGTCCAAGTTGAGTGTCTAAACCGTTAATTCGATAAAGCTCGTTTTGGCCGTATCAAACCATCTGGAGCCGTATGTCTAAGGGTAAAAAATACTAAAAACCTAAAATATATTTAAGTGAAATTTGTGCCCCTACTTCATTCTATTCGAAAGCTAATGAATGATTTCCACACATACACAGAATCACACAACCATACAATTTTATGTTGATCAAAAATATATATAATTTGTTTGGTATAAAATGCTTATTTCGAGGAGTTATAAACGAAATCACATGAGAAATACCAATAATACCAAATAAGAGCCAAATTAATGAGGGCTACTTCAAACCATTGACCTACATTGAAAAATGTTTAAGGTGTGGATAAGACCATTTATATAGCTGAAATCCGGGAGTACCTACCCCATATGTGGAATCACATTGATCATTTTTGTCATGGAAGGTTTCTACTAATTAGAAACTCAGAATATGAAAATTTGCAAAAATTAGTTGGAAAATATGACTAAAACGTAAAAAATACCAGAAATTTGGAGGCTATACTAAAAAGTGCACCTATATGATGTTTTGTAGCAAAAATTCTAGATATAATCAAAGGATCCCTATTAAATTTCAAAGCTCTGTCTTAAAATTTCCGGCAAAATAGATCAAAATATTGGAGACCTTTGTGTATGGTTATGGTTGAAAAAAGTTTGGCCTGAGAACTATTACTATCATCTCTATTTGGAATGTCTCCACTCCCCTGACCATGACCCAAGAATCGTTGCACTGTGTTATAACTGAAATTTTTTGCAAAGCATGTAGGATCATATTCACACCAAGAACTGTGACAATCCACCCATGGTAGTGCACGCATTAAACCCAGGGTTTGGGTACAGAGACCATCGAATAATAAATCTACCCGTCGTATTTTCTTTTTTTTTCGTTAAATTCCACCGCTCCGCACTTTCTAAACCTAACCAATCCAACACATCGTCATTTAAACTAATCAATACAATTTATAATGTTATATTTAGAGAAAGTTATAATTTTTTTTATTTTCAATCAATCTCCGTTTCCATAAATAATTGAAAAACGTGTCCAAGGCCCTCGAAATAGTTGAAATCAGGGAGTACCTTCATATGAGAGTTATACGTATTAAATATGTTTTATGATTTATTTACTTTTGAGGTCCAATAATAACAATTTTCGCAATTCGAAAAAATTAAATTTTTCTTAACATCATGGGAAATTTAAAAATTAGTTTTCCAACACATTCATATATATATTTTTTTGTTTCCACGAATTTAATATCCAATTATTTTATTATTATAAATTGCACATTTTTTGTATTTTTGGATAAATTGCCAATAACGTTTAACAACAATGTTTTCTTTTTCGTTTCCAGGTCAACTGTGTGCTGAGTATAGTCAATCGAGATTTAGTGCTAACACCCAAACAAGGCCTACAGTTGAGCGGCAAACGCATTTACTATGATGAAAATGCTGGCGCTGATGCAACAACGTCCATCGGCCACAGTGGCCGGAGTAACAGTAGCAGTGAAGCGGCGTCGTCGGTACGGCCATGGGAGCGTACATTGAAACATGTTACATATCTAACACTTTTTACAAATACCCCGAATGGCATTATTACCGGTAATTTCAGGTAAGATGTAGGGCTTTTCTTCTTTGTTTTATTGTGGTTGGATTTAGATTGCATAGATGCAAGTGAAAAAGGAGAGAGAGAGAGAGAGTTTGATGGAGTGTTGGGTTGGCAAAATGCAGGTGTTATGAAAGCAACAGTTTTGGGGGAGTAAAAAATGACGAAGTAATAAATTTGCATACATTCACAACGATGAGTGTGAATTAGGCAATGAAGGGAAAATTATAATGTGGTAATTTAACATCCTGCTGGCCAATATTTTTGTGTTTCTACCTTTGTAAATAGAAATGCAAATAAATAACATGGAAAATATAGTCGTTTGTAGAAACTAAAACAAAAGCAAGTTTATGTCTTAAGTCTTTTGTTTTTAAAACTCATCACATACTTTGAGATGACTAATGGTTTAATACCGGGTAAATTGGATAAAAACGCTAGAACTGGAAATGTCCCGAAACGGATTTGATTCAAAGAGACCTAGGATTTCAAAACCGTCATTTCAATGATGCACGTTTTGGCCGTATTAAATGATATATACCCTATCTAGCCATATGGCTGATGGTATATCAAATTAAATGGAATCAGTCGGTGTTGCCAACAGCTGCATATCAATGTTCGGTTATCTCAATATATTTTGACTTGCGTTATGATTATTAAAACTGTTGACCCTTCATAGGAGAGATTCCGAAGGAGTGGGACAATATTTTCCATTTCATATCTGACATAAATCTTAAAAAAATATTAACATTTATTACATTTGGATTTCATATCGATTACTTGCTTCACGAAAAGTCCGCGTTTTAAGAGAGTTATAATTATTTAAAATTTTGACCCGTTGTGGGGGAGGTACCAGAAGGAGTAGTCCGATATTGTATATCTTCATAAACATCTTGTGTTGATAGAAGTTCTTAAAATCAAATCTTGTGTTAGTGGAAATATTGAATTGAGCGAAATTTGACGATAATCGAACTCTTAGTTTCAAATTTTATAAACGTTTTAATTATTCAAAATTTTGACCATTTGTGGGGGAGGTACCAGAAGGAGTGGTCCTCCTTCACACCATTTCTTCCTTAGGTAGAAGTATTGGGATATGTGAAATTTGGAAAGAATCGGATGCTCATTTCTTGTTTTACGATCTTCATTGTTATTAATTGTTTATTAAATGTTAACCCGCTGTGGGGGAGGTACCAGATAGGGGTATGCCGAAATATCCCATCTTCACACCAGATCTTTTGTTAACAAATATAATGGAATGTGTGACATTTGAAGGCAATCGATTCTTATTTCACATTTTATAAGAGTTATTCGAAATTTTGACCCTCTGTGGGAGGAGGTACTTGATGGAGTTGACCGATATTGTCCCACCTGACGTTGCACTGATGGAAATATTAGGATTTACAAAGTTGGAGCTAAATTGAATCATCCTTTCTCTTTCTGTGCAGTAAAATATTTTTTTTTTGAAAATTACATCCTTTGGGGAATGTACCAGAAGGAGTGGACTGATATATCTCCTTTTTGCAGCAGATCTTGTGTTAACTAAAATACTGGGATGTGTGAGATTTGAAGATAAACGTATGCTAATTTCTCATTTTACGAGCGTTTTATTTATTTAAAATTGTGTCCCCTTTATGGGTTAGGTACCAAAAGGAGTAGAACCATATATCCCATCTTCACACCAGATCTTGTGTTATTGAAAATATTGGGATGCGTGGAATTCGATGAAGATAATCATTTTACAAGCGTTTTTATAAAAAGGTTGACCTCTTTGTGGGGGAGGTACTTAATGGAGTGGACCCATATTTTCTATTTTTGGACCTATCGTAGCACTGATAAAAATATGAGCATTTGCAAAAATTTTACAAAATTGAATAATACTGCCTTGTTCTGTATAAGGTTACTTATTTTCTTTGACAATTTGAATTTTTTTGTGGGAGGTACCAAAAAGAGTGCCAACACCGAACTAGAACTAATATTACGATAAACCGGATACTCCCTTGAGAGTTATCGTGCCCACCAGCCAGCCAAATAGCAGACGGACGGACATCACTAGATCGACTAAAAATGTCCCGAAACGAATTTGGTCTAAAGAGAACTTGGATTTAAAACCGTTATTTCGATGACGCACGGACACCCATATATTGACTTCAAATGTCCTGAAATGGATTTGGTCCAAGGAGACCCATGATCTAAACCCGTTATTTCGAAGAGACACGTTTTGGCCCTATCAAATGATATATCCCTTTATAGCCATATGGCTGAGGGTATATAAAGCAGTTAAAAGTATAAATTTAAATATGCGTTTCAAATTAAAAAAAATACAGAATACTGGGTAGTTCCCATATAATTGAGAGGTATACGAAAATCTGGACATTTATAGACATTTTGCTGCGGAGGGAATAACACCCATTACGGACTTCAAATACCAAATTTCAAACAATCATATTGAAAAAAGGGGCTAATCATAAAAACACTAAATTTCTGAAGTTTTCGTTATAAGTGGTTTAAGTAGTTTTCGTTTTCAGAACGTAAACCTGTAAAGAACATTTTTTTGTCATTTTGTGGTGGCAACCAAAATGAATTACAACTATCGAATTAAAAAAAATCCTTGAAAAAAGTGGCTTATATGGTCGAACTACTGAATATCCGGAAGTACCGTTATATGGTATTAAAGTAATCGAGGACCAGCATAGGGAAATTTTTGGCGGAGACTTTGAAAGGTAGTGTGAACTTTAATAACCGCTTTGTGAAAATTTCGTTCAAAAATGAGGCTAACTCATCCAAATAGCCATTACCAGGAGCAACGGTTATTTGGGGTCTCTACAACAACTTGAACCCATTTTGACTTGTTTTTTGCACCATAGTATGGTGGAAGTTATAGGGAAAATTAAAAATATCGATGATATAGACGTTTAAAAAAAAACTAAAACAAAATAAAACAAGTTCGTGTCTTAAGTCTTTTGTTTTCGAAACCAACAACATTAGTCATTTCTTCTGGTTTAAGTCCGTTTGGTATATGAGAATCTTTTTTTTTTATTTTTGCCCATACACGCAATGGCATGTTGACATCTGTATTTATTAATACTTTTTGAACAACATGATGAAATAATTTTCTCACAATTATTATTGAGAAAGTCAGACTATTATCAAATTTTATGATATAATTTCTTGTTTCATAAGATTTAGAAAAGGGGATAGTCCAAAGAAATAGTAAAAAATTGTATTTTAATAATACGCAAGTCATTTCTTACATTTGTTTAGTATATTTTTGTTTAGAGAACAGCAGCTATAGAAAAATGTAAATAAATTGAAAATAATAATTGATAATATCGAATGCCTTAAATTCTGAAATTTCGTATGCTTTTGGTGCGTAGTGGTGAGATATGTCCAAGTTTTTAGGAAATTTTGTCCTAAAGACAATGAAATTACTGAAAAGTACTATGTGCTGTGTCTGAAATTTGGCATGTGGGTAACAGTAATTGCGTATGGAAGAGGTGCTATAAGTTCTATATATAAGGTACTAAATGTGTGAATAATTCTGAAATTCAGAATGTCACTGTAGGTGTATTGGGGATATGATACATATCCACATCTAACAGACTACTAAGAGTTACCAAATGTTGTACTCCGCTATTCAGAGAACGATATTTCGGTTGAGATATGGTTGCATATTCAGAAATTCGAACAGAAAGTGTAGTAAAAGTAGCAAAAGGTACAAAATGCTGTACCATGGTATTAGGCAAAAGGGAGTAGCTGGAATTCTGAATATGTTACACACTGCACACTGTTAGTGTGTAGGAGGGACGTTCGCAGGGTTGGCCCGGGACCACTCCGAAATGGCTACTATTCTACCATACTTTACATGGAAAACACTTTTCTGCTAGTTGGCCATCCCATTAAACGAATGAAAAGTACAAACTTTTAATACCCTCCACCTTAGGGTAAAGCAAACATTAGAGCCTATATACCAAATTTTAAACATATTCATGGTAAAATGTGCCAAAATACCGAATATCAGGAAATTCGGCTATATGGGGCTATACAAAAACGTGGACCTATACATACAGTGTTTCCCCAAAAGAGCTAGAACCCATTAAGACCAACAAATACCAATTTTTTAGACAAATCCGTGAAAAATTGTGGCATAAATCATCAAAATACCGAATATCGGGATGTACCGTTATATGGGGACTATACCAAAACGTGGACCGATATATCTCATTTTCAATACCAACCATCATAGACACAATGCAAATTGCTCTGCTAAATTGTGACGCCCTACGTCAAATAATGTGGGCTGTATCGTGATTTCAACAGACAGACAGACGGACATCGTTAAATCGACTTAGAATTTTATGCTGATTATGAATATATATACTTTATGGGGTCTACGACGAATATTTAAGGATGTTACAAACGGAATGACAAAGGTGGAGGGTATAATAACTTCTGGAAATTTCTGTGAAAAGTAAAAAATGGTGTAAATGAAAAAATTAGCTTGGACTTTTAAGTTTGCATAAGGTTTACGGTTCATTTGGGTTTAAACAAGGAGAAGTAATGAAATAACTGACAGACTGAGAATCAACGCCCAGACGAAACACCTGAGCCTTGAATATTGAAATTTTGCACGAGGGTCAGTCTTGGTGCGTAGGTATGTGATTAGGCTGTGTTTTTTTCTTTTTTTCGGAAATTCGTACTAAAAAGGTAAGAAAAGTTCTAAAATTAACTAAAAATTAACTTAACTTGTATTGGCAATTGGAACGAGAGTCACTGATGGAGTGCACGATAGATGTACCAAAATTGAATCCTTTTTATTGGAAAAACGGAAGGGACTAGTATTCTGAAATGGAGTGCAGGATATATGTACCAAAGGCATACGATTCGAATTTAAGGATACGAAAAGTTTAAAAATAGTACTGGAAATTTGGTATGAGAACCAAGGTTTGAAAATAAGTTTGATATAAGAGTTTGCGTGAACTGTTTTAAATGGTACAACATTTGGAACAGTTTGGTTCACGGTGAACGGATGAAGCTGGAAATTTTGAAAATTTGTATTAGGGCAATTTGGTATTGGGTGAACAGATAGTGCTTGAAGTCTGAAATTTGGTATGTGGGTCACTTTTCATATGTAGCCTGGACATATGGAGGAGGTTTCGGAAATGTGCGCTATAATTGTACAAAAGGTACGGAATTGTACTATATTTGGTGTTGGGTGAAGGGATCGAAATACAATTGATATTTCAATTGCTGAAGGTATCTTCTTTTGAGATTTGGCAGAGGTTTGAAAATGCTTCCTATCCTAGTACGAAAAATACTAAATGGTACTAAATTTGGTATTGGGTGAAGGGATATGGCTGGAATCCCAAAATTGTATATTTGAGATATTGTTTTAAAATGCGTATATTAAATGTTCGAAAAGTAATAAAAACTACTTAATTTTGTAATGGGGGAAGTTATAGAGCTGAAACTTGAAATTTTATATTGAGATTCCATTGAGATATGGAACGATTTAGCAAATGAGTGCAAAAATTATAAGGAAAGTACTAAATGTCACTAAATTGTGTATTGAGTGAATGTATGGAGCTGGAATCACGGAATTTCATATTGAGGTCTCTGTTGGTAACTGGTGGAAGTTTTGCAAATACGTACTATAATTGATAAAAAAAAGTACTACATGGTACCAATTTTGAAGATTGATAGTTGATATTGAGACCACTGTTGGTTTCTAGGGTTTACATATGGAGACGTTGGAATAGTTTTTGGACAGAAAAATTGGATGTGGGTTTTTAGATCAAAATAAGCTTTGAACATTCGTCCTGTTTTATATATATATTTTTTTGCTATAATTTAAATATGCGTATGTATCATATCTTTCCGATTACAGGTTAAGTTGTTTGTACTTCCCTTTGACCCGTAGAAAGTTGTAGTTTCTACCAACAAAATATTTTTTTATGCGACAAAAATATTCCTAAACAACGGATCGACTTTTGAACGATTTTGTAACGACTGAGAAATGTAGCCCAAATAAAGTTCGGAATAGGTTCATATTTTGACATAGCCCCCATATCTAGATACACCACGATGTAAAATATTTATCAGGTTTTAGCTAAATTCCATGATATTTTTTTTTAATAAATGTTTTTTTTGAGTTATGATGAGGATGCAAAAAATTACCTATATGGGCACCCCATATGTACGTCCCCATAAAACGACAAACAGATTTAAGTTATTCGATATCTTAAAAAAATTTTGAACAGATTTTACAATAGTTGTGTGTTTTAAGTTGCATAAGCATAGAAACCAAACTATGGGTCCACGATTGCCAGCAGACTCCAAAAATCAGCCAAAAGTTGTTTATCATTATTCAGTTGCAAAGCGAAAAAAGTGAATATAAATAGTACTCCGCAGAGAGAAAACTACGTCGATTTAAGCGTGATTATACAATGGTTGCATCAGTATCGTGCTTAAGCCCAAAGTAATACCCGCGGTATTTTGTCCATTGGAACCTCCGAAATGATACAATTTGCCCATTACTGGCAACGTTGGCGATGCCACCCCACCGCAAACTCCATATCTCAAGGCGCTATATTTGGGTTCTCTGCCAATTTTTTAACACGAAAACGTTAAATAATACTAGGGCTGCTTGAATGCACAAACCCAGTCTCTCTCAGTCACACTATATAAGAAATTGGACTTGTATATTTAAAGCCCTAATATTCATTACGTAAGATACGAAGAGGAGCTACGAAGTCCTATGTATTCAATTATAGAGCAAAATAACCTCGTTAACGGGAATCTGGGAAAGTAAACCCTCTTCAAAAAAATTCTTGAATTCTGCTGAAAAATAACAATACCGAGCTCTGACTGCAAGGAGCTACAGTCAAAAAAATCGTGTAATGGATGAAAAAAAACATAGGGGTAGACTGGTTTTCCTCTTGGCCGTAACGGGCATACAAAAACGTTTCGAAAATCTTATATTCTTACTCTTTGGGTACGAATTAGTCGATGTATTCACAATTTCGACTACTTAGGTGGTTCATTTTCAGTGATACCTGTCTTTTTGACTGTCATTGTACTTATGAGCATGTTTCCTATTAATTATCCAACAGTGTTCGTGACTTGTCTTTTGTATTCGATTTAAATCCTGCAAAGCATAGTTCTCTTCTTCTTAATCTCTTTACATAAAAATCATATTAAAGATCTCTCTGGATTAACTACCACCCGTTCATTCAACTTATTTCCTCATTTCAGCAAAGTTCGTGAATACAATGAATTTTTACAATCGCCTTACCTACGCACTCCCAAACCTATCGACTCACGTTTCGGAGATATTGTTACTCTGGCCCAGGGACGTTTGGAATCACTGACAAACGGCAGCTATCGTTTTGTTGAAGGCAATTGTGATTATGCTTGTGCCCGAGAAAATAAAATGGTTGCAACATGGCATGTCCAAAAGATACGACATCGGGATGTGGATCGTAAATTTCACTATGAAATTAAATTCAGTGTTAGTCCCATGACGGCGACACAACCCAGTGAAACTGTGGTAAGAGGTGGACCCAATAAACGAACAGCAATGGATAATAATAACAATGCCCTTCAGCATAAATCGAATAATATCCAAACATTTATTCAGAAAGAAGATGACTATCCGCATAGTTTTAGTAAATTGAGATCAATCGCTAATAGTGATGATGACGGCTTTGTGGAACGTCGCTATGATGGTTCAAGAAATATAAGACAGTTTAATCCAGGTCAACAGCACACACAAATTACTCCCATGCCACAATCCACTTTTCTGCGGGGTATTTATCGACCACCTCCTCCTCAGCCTGTGGTGCAGCATGCACATCACCCCCACTTGACAAATTCCGGGCCACCATTGCCAGATCAACTGAATATTGGTGAATATTACAAGGGAAGCTATGGCCCCAAGGCCTCATCAAAAATTGAATTGTTTCCAAATTTATTGACCATGATGTTTGGTAAACCTCATATTTATCCCAAATATCCAACAACATATCGACCGCATAACGTTGCTGTGGAACAACAAATACATTTTCCACGTCCCGAAGCGTATACAGCACCAGCTGTGGCCACCGTTCCCCAACATCTACCCTATGTGCAACAGCAGCATCATCATCCAGAATTTCCAGCTGGCGGACATTTTATCCATGGTCAGGAGTACACGAAGATACCAGAATACTATCAATCCCATGAACATATTACCTCGTCCAAAGAAGTTCTAAGTCCGGTAATAACACATCACTATCACCATCACTTCTTTATGACGAATTCAAGTGACAGTGAAGAGCATAGTTCTGCTGGCAATCGTAATGGCGGCAATGGTGGCGGGAGTGAGGAAGAACAAAATGTCAATCCCAACATTTTATATAAGACAAATGTCCATGTTGTAACACCCCAACCGGAACAAGCAGTTCAGGTTAGTCAAACGAATGAGGAACATAAACCACATATCGTTTTGGCCCACCAAATCTTGCAGCAACAATATCAAGTACAACAACAGCAGCAGCAGCAGCTGGCTAAGCATCAACCACCACAGCACCATGAACATCAACATCTACAGTTTCCCAACACCTCTCCAGCACCACAGAAATTTGTTTTCCCTATTGCTGAAATAGAACAACACCGGGTGGTGCATGTAACACCCGTACCACCTTTACGTAAACCACAATATCAACAACATCACTATCAGCAGCCCTATGTCCAGCAGCAATACTCTACAGCTCATGCTCCCATTGCAATTTATCCGGCTCCTGTAGAAGAACAAGATAAGGCAGATATTCCCACACCGCGTAGTAAACCTTTTATACAGAGTCAGCCAATGGATGAAGAGCCCATACGTTATTCGGAACCTGATCCCTTATATGCCAATGTGGATGAACATCAAGAAGATCAGGTAACCTATGTTCCGGTACCAGAAGAGGAGGAATCTCAAGAGCCCCAGTTGGAAGAACCTCAACATGTAAGTGAAGTATCTGCAAAAAATTATCAAAATTATTAATATATTCACAATTTATTTTTCAGTACGAAAATCATCCATTCCAGGAAACAGAAAGAACAGATGATACTACAAAACAACATTCTGAATCTATAGAAGCTCAAGTTCCGGCGCCACAGCAAGGTTATGCGGCGAAAAATTCCTATGAAACCAGTCGTCATGACAATGAGGACAATATTGATACTGACAACGAAGAACATGAAGCCAGTACCCATCATCAAGGAACTCAAGAATATTTGGAAGAAAACACCAGTCAGTCCACAACCACCACGAAAGCTTCTACCCATAAATCCACAGATAATAACATTGACACCGAAACGGAAGCTAATAAAGCAACTCTAGCAGCAACCCCGAAACCCAAACCCTTGTCTGTCAGAGGCAAAAGGGTACGGGTTAAAGTCACAAAACTCACTTCAAGTACTACGACCAAACCAAAACTGTTTTCAACCCGTGTAACAACTGAAAAGGAAATTCTAGCCACAACTCCCATTTCAACAACGAGCAGCAGCACTGCAAACTCGCTCAAAGAACAAAAACAATTCATATCCACATCGACCACAGAAAGTCCTTTGAAATCCCTGAGCCGTTATCGTAATACCAACAAACGTCTAACCTTCACCACAACGACAACTGAAAAGCCGGTCTTAAAATGGAAGCCAAGACGTAAAGAGGCCACGGCCAAAGCCTTAAGTCTAAAGAATTTTGGAAAACAAGCAGCATCCGAGCAAAAAAATCAGGCAACCATTCGTGAGGTAACAAAGGCGAATAATATCGATCCAATAGTTTCCACAACGGAAACACAACAACCCGACAATACTCTGGATAATGTTTCAATGCTGGAGACAACCTCCACCACAATGTCCTCGCTAATTGTAGATGCCTCATTGCCGCCAGCCACAACAAGTGTCTCGGAAACTTACGAAGTTTTGACACAAAAATCGATTAGCTATAAAGTTGGAGAAAATGGCGAAGAAATTCCACTTCTAATCAATGATTCAGACAATGAAGTGAAAGCTTTGTAAAAAAAAAACCCAAAAGTTTGAAAGCAAAACTGGAGGGTTTTTGGAATTTGAGAGTATTCTGTAAATATAATTTTTCTTAATAATTTTGTGAATTTTTAAAGCAACGAACGAATATTGTTAATTATTTATTAAATAAATATTTTATATATGATACTAAATATAAAAGCTAAACCGAACATTTTTATATTATGCCAGTTAGGACGGTTCATGTTTCGTTTTTTATGTTTCCTTTAGGAATGCGCTAATTTGGAAACTGAAATGTCTAGAATACCTTTTTCCGATTTTCCCTTAAAAAAGCGACAGATGTGATTTTTACATGTCGTGTTCAAAAGATTCGACATCGTGATGTGGATCGCAAATTCCAAATTAAATTCAGTGTTAGTCCCATGACGGCGACACAACCCGTTGAAACTGTGGTAAGAGGTGAACCCAATAAGCGAACAGCAATTGATAATAGCAACAATGCCCAACAGCAAAAATGGCATAATATTCAAACATTTATTCAAAAAGAAGATGACTATCCACATAGTATTGAAATCAATTACTAATGGCGATGATGAAGATTTTGTGGATCGTCGTTATGATGGCTTAAGAAACATACGACAATTTAATCCAGGTCCACAGCACACACAAATTACTCCCATGCCACGATCCACTTTTCTACGGGGTATTCATCGATCACCTCCTCCTCAATATGTGGTGCAGCATGCACATCATCCCCACTTGACAAATTCCGGCCCACCACTACCACATCAACTGAACATTGGTGAATATTACAAAGGAAGTTATGAAACCAAGGCCTCATCAAAATTGAATTGTTCCCAAATTTATTGACCATGATGTTTGGCAAACCTCATATTTATCCCAAATATTCAACAACATATCGGGCACATAACGTGGCTGTGAAACAACAAATACATTTTCCACGTTCCGAAGCATATGCTATACCAGCAGTTGCTGCTGTTCCCCAACATCTACCATATGTTCAGCAGCATCATCATCAAGAATTTCCAGCTGGCGGAAATTTTATGCATGGACAGGAGTATACCAAGATTCCAGAATATTATCAACCTTTTTCCGATTTTACCTTAAACAAGCGACAGATTTGATTTTTAAATATTTAAACTTTAGAACCAGCATAAAAATTCACGAATATCCTTATTGATTTGAAGACCTTCGTCCTGGGGGCGGGCTTGTACCGCATGCTGGACAGATGTTCTCTACATTTTTATTGTTCTGCACACTAAAAAAATTTAGACAACAAGCAACATTATCTTTGCTTATGTGGTCAACGGTGATCTAAAACGTTAACAGCATAGGCAGATCAATAAAAATGTGGAGAACATCTGATATATCTCTTATATCTTTGGAGCTTTGGAGTGGGTTTGTTAATCGGCAGTTAATAGAAAATCTCCATAGAAAAATGTATCACGGTATCTTATTCAAAATTTTACCCATTCGAGGTATTTCAATTTCTTCAGAATATAAATATGATTTTTTGTAAAAAATCGTTATTGTTTCTGGTGTTAATCCACACATAATCAGCAGCAAGTTCTAAGTCGATATGGCCTTGGTCATCTATTGATAGAGATTTGATATTATGCATAGGATATGTCGTGTTGAAAAGAAAATTGATTCTTCCACGTTTAGGTATGACCCCATATATCGCTAACTAATGGTTTTTCGTATTTTGAAGATTTCGGCTCCACTTTACAACCACATCAGCTGTAATTTGTAGTTCCTATTTTTTTTTTTTTTTTTTTGGTTAGAATAACTCCAATGAAAGGATTTTAGATATAGCCTATTAGTCAAAGTTATCATTGATTTTTGGTAAATTTTGTAGAACTAAAATTACAAGTTGCACCAGGCACTCGCCAATTGCCTTAAAACGTAAAACTATTTGCCAAAATGAACAATTTTTCTCAGTAAGGAAGTATTTTAATGCATTTTTAAAATTAAATAAAAAATTCTTTCGACTTACCGGCTTCCTCAGATGCATATTTGTAATTTGGTGCTGGTTGAACTGGTAACAATTTACCATAGGTCTCGGGCATCATTTCCACGATACGTTGGTGGTACGATAATCTAAAATAATTAATAAATTAGCATTAAAAAATATCTTATTTTCAAATAATATACGCTCTTTGGCTTACCTCAAACACTTCTGTAAAACTTCCTGTATAAATTTGGGACGTGGATGTTCCATGTCCAATAGCAAGCAACTATCCCATTCCTCCCATGACCAAGTAAATTTGAAATTACTCAAATGGTACGAGAACCAGTTAACAAAACGATCAAAGCATGAAGTATTCATGGAATCAATGCGCATGAAAAGAATTTCCGTTGCTTGGGCCAACACTTGCGGCAATGTGGCCGGATGTAATTTACACAATTCAATCAGAATCGAACCATAAACAATATCTAAATAACGTGGAGTTGGCATGTGGAATAGCTCAGCAAAAATCACCTCCACAATACAATATTCGAGTGGTACTTTATTTTTATATGGGAATGCCAATAGTTGTGCAGCACAATCTTTACGTTCCTTATGATGCATTTCAATAATGTGATGAAGATGTTCTTCGATCAGAAAACGTTCAATTGAATGGGCTCCGGGTAGATTTGGGCCATCTGGACAATCGGTATAATCGAACATGCGATACACCACCCAGGGCATGGGATACTCATATGATTCGTGATGTGGTGGTGGTACAATCTGTGGCAAGTTATGTTGCAGAGCTTCACACAAAATGGAATCGAATGACAAGTAGGGTCTTTGAAGATGCTTTTCGGCCCAATTATCTTGACGCAATTTACGTATTTGTGCCCACAAACAATCCAAGTATTCTTCCTGGGGATGAGGAGCATCCACAGACCATACACGCAATGCATTGTGATGTTTCTTGGAACGTTTATTGAGATATACCTCAATACGCAGCAATAATGACTCCAACGAAGTTTCTTTCTTCTCATAGAGATCTCGACCAACCCATGGCAGGGTTGATAACACAGCAAACACATACCAATCACGTCTTACTTGTGGTACTGGATCTTCATTGGATACATCGATCATGGTATCCAACAACTGCAGCAATGAAGAAGCCGAAATGACATGACAATTCACCAAATCGGCCAAGAAACGCAGTGAATAGCGTGCATTATTCCATTTGCACTGTTTCAAAGACTCCTTGAATATTTTAACCATGTGATCGACAAACTCGCCGCCAAATTTGTAATTTTTGGCATTCAACAGGCCCACGAGCGTCGTATAAATGGTACACTTCTCCGGCATTTTCACGGCACAATCTGAGAGGATGCGTAAGATTTTCAGGCGAAAGGTACCCAAATCAGCTTCAAGCACCGACACCAGACCCTCCAAGTTGGACTCCACCGATGAGGTGCTACGTTCACCCACACGCAAAATCAAGGACTCCAAACGATCTTCAATTTCTTGATTCTCTGAAACGCGGCGGCGCTTACGGTTGCGGTGTTCTGGAAATGGGAACATAAACATCAATTTTCCAAATTTGCATGTCCATGAAAATAAATGCACTGTGGCATTCGGCAAATGTGGTGCCACACATATTGCCATTGTGTGTCTTACCATAACCATCGTCGTCTCCATCGTGATGACGTCTGCGATTCATGTTATTTGGTATCGGTTCCTCGAATAACTAATGAAACAAGAAATATTTTGCTAATTGTTAATTAAAAACGTATTGAAAGTTTTCTTTTTTTGCAAAATTTTCAACACGCCGAAAATGCTTTTGTTTCAACCCAGACACGAAGCGGAACGATATGTTTGACGGCGGCGGCTTACAAGTGTAAACTAATTATCGGCGTTGCGTTGTGCTTCCTGTGTACTCTGTACACAAACACATTAACATCTCATATGCAATTATGCACCAATACATTCAAAATAGAGATAGTTGCGAATGAAGGATGAGGCAACACGTCGAATGTATAGAAAGTGGAAGAGGCAAAACGCCGCAACAGCTGTCTATTCACACGAGGAAACGAGTGTGGAAAATGTATGTGTTCACTAAATGAACGAAGGGGCGAGTGTCAAGGAAGAGCTGTCTGCATTATTCACCGTACCAATTTGGTTTTTACAAATTGTCAAAAATACCAAAAATTGTCTTTCTCCCCAGGTACGCTTTCCAATAGAAGTTTTGCGTTGTATTTCAAAGAAATTAGGTTCCACTTAAGCTAATCGATTAAAGATGAATACCATTAGACCCAGTTATTTATTCAATAACCTTTGTTCTACCTTCTGTATGTGTGGCATAGGCATATTATTTGATTTTTTTATTTTCTTCGCTTAATATGCCAACTTTTTTGTTTATGTGTGTGTATTTTTTCAATAATAAAAAATTGCATAGAAAATATTCAAATTCGGGTGTTTTCAAAATGCTTATTTTAAAGTATGAATCGACAAAATCTACAGTTTTTGTAGCGAAATGAGCCTTTAGAGATATAAAGAACATGATTTTGAATAGAAATGTTGACCTTTCATTCAGTTTTCGCGGTTTCCAATTATTTATTCAAAATCAATGCCACAAGTTGTTTGGTTTTTTGATTGTTTTGATAGTAACATTTTTTTCAAAGTTAAGCTGGAAATACATAAAGAGCATATTTGGCTGGCTTAAGTCATTGGCTGGCTTCTTCGGAAATTAACAAAGGAGCCTAGGGCCAAAATCGAACTAAGTCAACCTAAAACTCCTTTGTTCATCTACGACATAGATGCCCAGTAGTGGCTGATTTCAGCAATTTCAACTCACACGTATTCTTACGCTCTTTTGTTTGATCGCCAATCAACCAATAGGAAAGCAGAAATATGAGTGGGAGAGACAAGCTACACAGGCAGAAGTTCTGTGTAATATTAACATTTAATCGTAATCGAGACTGCTGTTAGTGAACACATAAACTGAAAATTATTGCGATATGTCAATGATGTCATTTGAAAAGTATTTTATGATACAAAATGCTTTTGATGATATGCAATGTTTTATATGTTATAAGACATTAAAAAAAATAAGAAATATAATTTAAAAAAAACATTTTGAAACTACTTAAATAAATGCATTTATCAAGAGTATTACTAAAACATGTATATTCATTAATTTTACATTTCATAGAAAAAGAAAAAAAAATGACGACACCCGCCACACATATGCTTTCGTCGCTATCCCGTTGACGACTAAATAAAATGAATAGAAAAATCTTTTCTTCCAGTGTTATTTTGTCGCTCTCACCAACACTATTACATTGGGCATCTATGATCTACGAAGAAGCCAGCCGATGACTTAAGCCAGCCAAATATGCTCTTTATGTATTTCCAGCTTTAGCCTACCTTATCTTCATATTTCTGTTCAAAATATATATTTCTAGAGATTAATTTCAATTAAATTAGTTATGTTTGGACTGGACTCATCTATTTAATTTATATAATTTTGAGAACAAACAACGTATCTAAAATATTAATGGGAACATGATATAAATTTGGCATATTTAAAAGGGATAGCTAGATCGACGCGTAACTTTACATTAAATCGATTGTAAGCTAATCGAAAATCGATTTTGTCAGTAGACGACGGAACTGTTACCACTGATTTTGAATATTTCACGTTTTTTTCTTGTTTTGACTAAAAGACTACTCTTTCAACAATAGCATATTGATAATGCATTATTACAATGATGTAGAAAATTATAAGCAAAAAAGGTCCATCAAACTTTATTTTTATTTCACTTAAATATGACACATGTTGAGACGAGTTATAGCATAACGTAACGTGAAAGAATTGTTTGTCCATTTATAGAACATAAACGATATATGTAGATATGGAACTTGAACTGCACACAGAGAAAGAAAGCATAATCCGATTTTGCTTCCAGGTGCGAAAATGGACAATATCTGTTCACTCCATCAAGTACCTCCCCCACAAAGGATCAACATTTTAAATAATTATTACTGTAATAAAATGTGATGTAAGAGTCCGATTGTCTTCAAATTAAACGCATCACAATACTTTTATTAACCCAAGGTCTGGTGTAAAGATGAAATATATCGGTCCCCTCCTTCTGATACCTCCCCCACAAAGGGTTAAAATATTAAATATCTATGAAGCTCATAAGACGCGAAATAAAGAATATTTCTATCAACACAAGATCTGTTATAAAGATGATAGAGATCGGATCATTCCTTCTGGTACATTTTCCACAAAGGGTCTAAGTTTTGAATAACCGAAATGATTATTAAATTCCAAAAAAAAAAAGAAACATCCGGTTCTGTTCATATTTCACACATCCCATTATTTCTACTAACACAGGATCTGCTGTGAAGATGGGATGTATCGGTCACCTCTTTCTGGTACCTTCCCCACAAAGACTCAAAATTTTGAATAACCATGATGCTTCTAAAACGCGAAATTAACATCCGATTCATTTCAGACTTGGTAAATCTTAATATTATCATCGACACAAGATCTGTTTTAAAAATGGTAAAGATCGGGCCATTTCCAGTGCTACCTCCCCCACATAGGGTTAAATATTTTGAAAACCAAAACGCTCAAAGAAAACTAAAAACGCATGCAACTTCCTTCAAAGTTCACACATTTCGTTATTTCTACGAACACAAAATTTGCTGTCAAGATGGGATATATCTGCGAACCCATTCTGGTACCTCATCCTTAAAGGGTTACAATTTTCAATTCTTTCATCTGTCATAACTTGCGAAGCAAGTCAGCGATACTTTACAACTTAGTATATCTACATATTTCTCTCAACCAAAAACCTGGAATGAATATGGAATTTGTGATATCGCACAAAAATTGGATGTAAATGCTAGATTTTTTCGTAATTTTGCCCATATCAATATTTTTAACTATATTATATGAGGTATGAAAATGGAATACTTCGGTCGACTATATCTTTTTAACATTTTCTAAAAATTATCGTATATTTCATATAAGTTGAAGGAAGTAACCAAACCTGGTACGTCGCAATATTTATATCAATATATTATAATCATAACAGAAGTCAAAATATATTTAAATAATCGAACATGGGCTGAAGGTATACATCTGTCGGAAAAACTAGTTTTTCTTTTAATATAAGTAGATTTTATATATTTTCTTATACGACGGAAATCGGAGGTGAGAATACATAAAATGCTTTTTTGACCAGCCTTAGGCTGGAAATACATAAAGCGCTTTTTTGGCTGGCTTAAGTCATCGGCTGGCTTCTTCGGAAATGAACAAAGGAGCCTAGGGCCAAAATCGAACTAGGTCAACCTAAAACTCCTTTGTTCATTTACGAAGAAGCCAGCCGATGACTTAAGCCAGCCAAATATGCGCTTTATGTATTTCCAGCCTAAGGCTGGTCAAAAAAGCATTTTATGTATTCTCACCTTTATTTTCACAGAACGTTATTATTGTACCATGGGAAATGTTCCATGTTTCGTAAACACAGAGTAGAGAAACCCAACAATTTTTGGAAAAAATACCGTACAATAAATTCTCACCCACTAATTTCATCTAGAAAAAAAAGCGCCTATGCACTTTAAAGCTATAAAACATAATCCGACAATAGTTTAAGGGCGAAATAAACAAGATCATGATGAAGTGGAAAATATTCGTAAATCATTTTCCTAGAGTAATTAATTACCAGCAACACAACACTTCTTGTTTGGTAAGAATGTCTAATAAATTTTCTAATCCCTTTTCTCTTAGACCATCAGCCCACAATTTTGTGTGTCTGTTTTGGGGGTTCTTCTCTCTGCTGCTTCTGTTTGTTTTCCAAAGAAGATCGTTTTTCACCAAAGACAAAATAAAGAAAACAAACAAAATTTGAGAAGAAGAACAACAACCAGATTACAGAATACAAATCGTATGGGAAATCTTTGGGGTAGAGATATCTCCATCAAAGGAATATGGGTTTCGTTCTTTGTAATTAAAATAAATTAACATATTTTATGATATTTATCAATCGAAATGGATACTAAAATGTGACTGCGTCTCTAAATTTCAATCGAAAAAAATAATAACTTTTTAGGTGCTGCACTCACTCCTCACTCATTAAGTAGAGACATTTTTCCAATATTTTCTCATAAGTGGTTGGGATGGGGAGACGGGCCATAAATTGATAATTAAATTAAAAAGAGATGGCATAGGATTACAACAACTTTAGGAATGACAACAAAAACAACACATTCCAATATGCCAGCCTTTTGTTGTTTTTTGAAAATAGATAAAACCAAACTCTAATTTTAGAGATTATAGAATATTGGAATCTGCGTTTTTTTTTCTTGTTAATGAAAAAGACCGGAATGTGTTACGTTTTGTTTTTGGTGTGGATGAATGCAGAGCGACATTTCATTTATGAAATGTCACTTACTAAGGGTGATTTAGGCAGACAGACAGACAGATATATGATTGGGGACAGAAAGACAACATACTTAAGAACAAATGAATTTGTTACAAGCAAGATCTACACAAGGATGGGAAGGGGAAGAGTCACTTAAATCGATATTATATTCATCTATGGATTATTAAACAATACAAGGAGTTTTTTTTGGTATAGATCATGTTACGCGGAGATTATGAGAAATGATTCTAAATTTTATTTTTGGATCGAATGCGCTATTCTTTGTCACAAATCAAATCGATAGAAGATATGTCATTATATACAGTATGTCACATATTACATTACACGCAGTAACATTTTTTTTTCAATATTTTTCTTAAGATTTCAGATTTAAGATTTATTTCAATTCTGGGCATTTTTAACTAAAATGAAATTTCAATTTTTTATAAATT